GGGGTGCTGACTCTGGGGGTGCTGCGAGTCCTAGTGGCGGTGGAGCTGTGGGTGACCCTGTTGGAGGTGCTGGAGCTGGACAGCCACCGCAGCCTGATCTACTTGAGACGCTCTCGCCGCAGGCGATTCGTGCGTGGATCGTTCGGCAAGGCAGTCCTAGTGGTGGAGGGTACGGTCCTGCTGGTGCTGGAGCTACTAGTCCCGGAGGTATTGCTGGTGCTGGAGGTGCTGGAGGTACTGCTGGAGGTGCTGCTGGTGCTAGAGGTACTAGAGGTGCTGCTGGTTCTGGAGGTACAGGATCTGCTAGTCCTAGAGGTACTGGAGGTGCTATTGGTGCTGGAGGTGCTGGAGGTACTGGAGCTACTAGTGCTGGAGGTGCTGCTGGTGCTGGAGGTGCTGGAGGTGCTGCTGGTGCTGGAGGTACTGGAGCTGCTAGTGCTGGAGGTGCTGCTGGTGCTGGAGGTGCTGGAGGTACTGGAGGTGCTGGAGGTATTGCTGGTGCTGGAGGTACTGGAGCTGCTAGTGCTGGAGGTGCTGCTGGTGCTGGGGGTGCTGGAGCTGCTAGGCCTGGAGGTACTGGAGCTGCTGCTAGTGCTGGAGGTGCTGCTGGTGCTGGGGGTGCTGGAGCTGCTATGCCTGGAGGTACTGGAGCTGCTGCTGGTGCTGGAGGTACTGGAGTTGCTAGTGCTGGAGGTGCTGCTGGTGCTGGAGGTGCTGGAGGTGCTGGAGGTGCTGCTGGTGCTGGAGGTACTGGAGCTGCTAGTGCTGGAGGTGCTGGAGGTGCTAGAGCTGCTAGTGCTGGAGGTACTGCTGGTACTGGAGGTGCTGGACCTGCTGGTGCGCTTCGCCACCTTCTCGGTCTTCCGCCAGCTCCTACTGAGTTCCCAGTCGCTCGTACTACTCCTCCGTTACTGTTTCCACAGCTACTGCCTCACTCCCCACTGCCTGCTCCTGCTCCTTACACTGCTGTGACAGAGTCCCTGACTGAGCGTCGAGCGCCTGAGACTCGTGCTTCCACTCCTGAGCGTCGAGAGCCTGAGACTAGAGCTTCCGTTCCTGCCCGTGTTCGTCGTGTGCGTCATCCTCGTGCTCCGGCTGTCCCAGGCACTCACGATATGACACTCCGTCCTTCCTCTGTTCCACATCGTGTTGTCCTACCGTCACCTCCTGCGTCTTCTCTTCCTGACGTTGCCGACCCTCCGTCTGACCTTGCTCGTGCTTCCAGTCCGACTGACACTCGCTTGCTTGCTACAGTTGTGACGGACCCTACGTTCTCGTCTCCTGTTGCGTCTGCCTTAGTCGCTGAGCTAGTTGACTTTGCTGCTGCGCACAGCCTAGACTACCTTGCGAGTCTTGTTTCTGACCCTGACCCTGCCTGTCCTCCGTCCGTCGGGGGTGAGGTTGCCCTTGGCTGTGACGTTCTTGAGGACAGACAAGAGGAGCTGGAGTGTCTTGCGGCCGCTGCACCTCATCTCGCGACCATGCTGCTTGCCCCTGAGGGAGACCCGGATGCACTTGACATCCCCACCCCGCGCTCTTACAGATAGGCGATCTCGGGTGAGTACTCCTCTCAGTGACAGACAGCCATGGACGCAGAGATGGTTTCATGGAAGTCCACAGGCACCTACGTCGACGAGGTTCCCCCACCTGGGGCGAACATCGTCAGTGGCATGTGGATTTTCAGGGTGAAGCGGCCGCCGGGTTCTCCGTCTGCCTTCAAGGCACGTTACGTTGCTCGAGGCTTCAGTCAGCGTGAGGGGGTCGACTTCTTTCAGACCTTCTCCCCCACCCCGAAGATGACCACTCTTCGGGTGTTGCTACACGTTGCAGCTCAGCGTGACCACGAGCTGCACTCCCTCGACTTCTCGACAACTTTCTTGCAGGGTAGCCTTCACGAGGCCATCTGGCTGCGCCGTCCAGAGGGCTTCACTGGGTCGTTTCCTGAGGGTACCCAGTGGAGCCTACGACGACCAGTGTACGGCCTGCGTCAGGCGCCCCGCGAGTTGCACGACACACTGAGGACGACACTTGCGGCTCTTGGTTTTGCTCCCTCGACAGCTGACCCGTCGCTGATCCTGCGCACTGACACTACCCTGCCGGCGTTCTACATCCTCGTGTACGTCGACGACTTGGCCTTTGCTACTGCTGACACAGAGGCACTGGCCCTAGTGAAGGCGGAGCTGCAAGAGAGACACACTTGCACTGACCTGGGTGAGCTGCGGAGCTATCTTGGCTTGCAGATCACCCGGGACAAAGCACGGCGCACCATCACCCTGACTCAGTCACACATGGTGCACCAGGTCATTTAGCGCTTCGGCTTCACGTGGTCCTCGCCACAGCCCACTCCTCTGTCTACCGGCCACTCGCTCTCAGCTCCACCTTCGGACGAGTTTGTAGAGCCGAGTTGTCCGTACCCAGAGCTTGTGGGTTGCCTCATGTACCTGATGACGTGCACACGACCTGACCTCGCATACCCTCTCAGCCTCCTGGCTCGCTACGTGACACCCGATAGACACCGAAAGGTGCACTTTGATGCTGCGAAGAGGGTACTACGTTACTTGTGCAGTACATCGGGCATGGGGCTCGTGCCTGGAGGACGGAGTTCAGTGGTACTCACTGGACACTCTGACGCTTCTTGGGCCGACGACCAGGCGACTCAGCGTTCGTCACAGGGTTACACCTTCAGTCTTGGCTCTGGTTCTGTCTCGTGGAGGTCCACTCGTTCTTCTTCTGTGCTTGGCTCCAGCTGCGAGGCCGAGATCTACGCTGGGGCCATGGCTGCACAGGAGCTACGCTGGCTGACCTACCTGCTGACCGACTTGGGGGATCGGCCACGTTCTCCTCCAGTTCTGTACGTCGACAACAAGGCAATGCTTGCCTTGTGTCGCGAGCAGAGACTGGAGCACAGAACGAAGCAAATTGCTTTTCGTTACTTTCTTGCTCGAGAGTTGCAGCAGCGTGGTCAGCTGCGCCTTGCTTACGTGGCCTCTCGGGCCAACACTGCTGGTGTGTTCACCAAGGCCCTTGGGTCTGGTGATCATCAGCGTTTCTGCACTGCTCTTGGGCTTGTGCCCACTCTGCCTCACTTGCTGGTTGCTTGACTTGCTCTTGTTCTACACTGATATATATATTTATACCTGCTTGTTTAGTCTTGCTAGGTTGTGATCAGTGTACTGCCTTGCTATTATAACTCTGCATGTGAACCGGCCTTGTGGCCGCTTGCTTGTGCTCAGATTGTGTGGTGTCCTTGAGATCCACCCTGAGCTTTGCTTTGCTTTGCTTTGTTCTCTTGCTTGACTGGTCTTGTGACCGTTCGTTGTGTTTGCTATCCCCCACTTTGCCTATGGGGGTGTGTCAGATTACATTTGTATGTGTAGGCTGTAGTGGGGTAGCCTCTACTGAATACAACACTTTAGGTCAAACATAGTACTTGTAATCATTCCTGCACAGTTGATTCTGACAGTCGTTCGACGAGCTCGTCCTCTAATCGGCCAGCCCGTCGACGAACTCTGACGGACGGGGTGCTTTTCGACGAGCCTCGTTCTCTGATCGATGGGTGTTGTTCGGCGAACCTATTCTCAGCGAACTGGTCGGTCGAACTCGCTCGACTGCGAAACTCTGCGAATGTGTGCTAATTTTGCCCAGGGGGGTTGGGCGAAAGTCGACCTGCGGAATGGCATCATGTGCTCGACGGTGGACACCTGGCGAAACCGATGACACGTTTTCTACATGGCACCTGCGCAATGTGCCTGACGGTGCAACCGTCGACCTGCACCTACTTCGTAGGTGCGAACATGTGTTCGGATATTCACCTGCGAATGCAGCGCTGCTAGGCCGCCCTGTCTTGCTGCAGCGTTGGCAAGCCGCTCTGATGCTCCGCTGACATTTCGCCTTACATAATGCATGCTAGGTGTCGCGATTCCTTCCTTGCTATAGCGACTTGCATGCCTCATTGTAATCTATTGTTCTTCTCAATTTCTTAGTGAAACTCCTGCCAAATTTCACTGTGAATACAGCAAGAAGTGAGAACGCTACTAGAACACATCAAGCAGTGAGAACGCTACTAGAACATTACGATCACCTGCACAAACCCGTGCCCTCCTCCGTAGTCCACTCCCATTATAGGGTGACTCTCCGCTTGTTGTAGCGCTCTCAATTTCTCGTGGCTTCAGGTTCTGTTCTTAGCGATTTTACTCTCCAAGTGTTTTTAGCGATCTGGTAATTACCTTAGCCAAGCAATAACCGAGCCTTGGTGATTCTATAGCCGGAAATTCACATCCCAGACGGAGCTAATACACATGAAGGCATGGTTTTAGTTGTTCGCAAGGCGCGTGCATAGTCGTACACGGAAACGGCGGTGCTTGACATGAACACCAAAATGGAAATGTAGGGTTATCTCTGTTCTAAGCAAACGCGCATAACACTTTGTAGCCCTGATTTGAAGTATTGAGTTTGGCCCCAACCCGGACGCAAGTGATAGGTTAGGTCTCAAACCGTAAATTCAAGGGCTAATTTCGGGGCACCTCAGCCTCCCAAGGTTTGCCCCCAGACCAATCGACAGGCCTGGTGGCGGGGTGTACCGTGTCCCCGCGCTCCAAACCAAAACCAAACCTGAGATTGTCGGCGCCGCGGCTTCCAGTCTCATCCACTCATTCCATAACAGATGCATCTAGTTCCCAGCGCAAGCTCTATAGTAGTGTCGCACCGCACCCAACCTACCTCCTCCCGTCGAATTGAACGCACTGACTGGCTCGGAAGGATTGAGTCTCCAAGAAACTGGCCTCTGTCCGGCAGGCTTGGGAGCGAGTCGTGCTACATCTGTCGCCGAGCCTCATTCACCCAGACCTAAACTTCCCGTACCGGCGAAAGCATCTACTACAGTACCCTTCTACCCGGCCTCCGTCCACCATGTCTTCCTTCCAGCAGTTTCTCTCATCACATTCGAGAACTTCCTTCCGTCACGCCTCCAGAACTCGAACCCCCCTGTGGCTAGTATTACCATGGCTTTCTCGTGCTGTGGCGCCTCCCCTCCGCGGTGTCTGCTCGTGCCGCTCCTGCTCCTCTCCCTCGGCGTCTTGCGGATCCACGCGCGCCACGGCCCCGAGATAGCCGTTGCGGACGCTCAGCCGCGTTCCCGCAGCATTCGCGGCGGGGATGCCGCAAATCCCCACCAGCAGTTCGACTCGCAATCACCCGAGGTAGTAGTACTGCCGCAGTACACCACCGGCGCGGAGAGCGACGGCGCGGAGTCGATTGCGGAGTGGAAGCGACGATCAGCGGAAGCGGGCGCGCACTTCTTCCCCCTGCAGCGCGCGGAAGACGCCCCCAGCAGGGACGAGCTGCACCGCCGGATTCTCTTCGTGAGTAAGGCGGCGGAGGGACGAGCCCTCCGTGAGTAAGGCGGCGGAGTGGAGGGGCCGGAAGCAGAGCAGGGCGTTGCTGCTGCTTGACAGTGTCCGATACTGCTACTCTCACACGAGATGGCATGCTCACACACCGTTGCATGGCTGGCGTTAAAAAAAGAACTAGAAAATATAGCCGCAGCCACTCGCGGCTGTATCATGGTGTGTGTTTTGCTATTGAGATAAGCCCACGTGAGTCCGACTCATGCCTTGCTGCTTCCTTCCCGGCCCACAATCCGTGACATGCGCAGGGCGGCGTGGGGGGCGGCTTGAAGGGCAAAGGAGAGTCAGGCAGGGTAACGACGGTGAGTGAGCGCTCACGACAAGACGTTGCTACTGCTGCTATTAGTGTGGTCTCAGGCCAGTCGTTTTTGGAACGGTGGCAAGTGACAGGTGGCAGTTAACATTTGACCATGCTGCGTTGCATTCGACCGTTCTCAGGAGCTGAGTTGAGTTGATACTCGAAACCACAAGAGCGCAGTGCGACCCATCAGTCTGTCGGTTCTGGCCCGTGCACTTGCCTTTCCCACTACCATTGCCTTGAGGTATCTTGCAAGCCTCCCTCCCACCCACCTGCCTCTGCCTCTTGAAGTCTCTCTGTCCTGACCCTTTCTGCGTCCAGCTGCGGACCGTGTTTGTTTCCCACCTCGTTGCTTGCAGGCAAGGGGGTGATCCTTTGCCATGGTTTATTGGCATCTCAGGATCTGTCTGGTCTTGTCTCGTCTCGTCTCGTCTCACGTGCTGCTTTACCTGGTCGCTTGCTTGCAGGGAGAGGGGTATTATCTGCCAATGGTGAACTACGACAGCACGCTGCTCTCAACGGCCAACGGCACAATGGGCAACACCATGGTCAACTACAGCACCACCATCGACGACAACCAGATCCGCCTCCCGTATGCGCCGCGCCGCACCGTGCTCCTCTCGCCGCATCTCGATCGCTGCATTAGCCTCGCTGCACCCCTTCGACCTCCCTCCTCTGTGACCTTTCGTCCCTTTCTGCCCTTCCTCCCCTCACCCCCCTTCCCCACCCACCGTCGCTCGTGTGCCCCCACCAGCGTATATCCGTACTACGTGGCGCTCAAGCTGGGGTCGAGGAAGCAGGTGTTCAGCATGGCGCTCAACCTCGTTGTCCCCGACACCTTCGTCCCCTGCGACTGCCTGCACTGCGGCTCCATGCGCAAGGGGGTGCGTGGGGTTCCTCCCTCCGCCCACCCTTCCATCCACCCTCCCACGGTCCCACTCAACCACGCCTAGGCGGGAGTGCGAGCGCGACAAGAGGGTGGTGGCCTGGGAGTGGGGGAGTGAGAGCCAAACACAGAGTGTGAAGGAGAATGAATGAGAATGCGAGTGAGATCGATAATGCGTCTGAGAGGGAGGGAGCGAGTGTGAGAAGTGGAGTGCGTCAGGGTGTGGGGGGTTCCAATCTAGTCACAGCCATGCCTCCCAGACTAATCCTTATCCCCTTCTGCTTACCCTCTTCTGCTTACCAGTGTACCCCCTTCTGCTTACTCCCTTCTGCTTACTCCCTTCTGCTTACTCCCTTCTGCTTACTCCCTTCTGCTTACACTCTCTTGAAGGCCGACCGAAGCCCGCCTCACCTGTGACTTTCTCTCCCATTGCCTTGTTGTTGTGACAACACACGGATGAAAGCAGTCACGTTGCATTTCTTTTCCGTTACAACAGCACATTACTCATCCTTCCTCTAGCCTCTCTTTGCCTCCCCTCTCGTCCCTATCCATCACCCCATCCCCATCCCCATCCCCACTCCCACCACGACTCCTTCTGGCTCCCCTCTCCTCTCCCTGCAGAATGACTACAGCAAGCCGTTCCCCTCTAGCCTCGTCTCACGTTTCCCTCCTTCCCTTCCCCTGCCCCCCTCCCCCTCTCCCTCTCCCTCTCCCTCTCCCTCTCCCTCTCCCTCTCCCTCTCCCTCTCCCTCCCCCTCTCCCTCTCCCTCCCCCTCGTCTCGCCGCGCAGACCACGAACAGCAAGCCCTTCAGCACGCTCTCCTCCACAACCCTCAAGTACATCTCCTGCAGCGACCAGCGCTGCCAGGTGGGCGCCGGTTTCTATGGCTGCAACACGGAGGGGCTCCCCAACTACATCAACATCACGGGCCTGCTGCCTGGGGACGACGCTCTCTGCGTGTACGATGCAAACGATGGAGTCTACGACTACTACGAAGCTGATGCTGATGCGGAATCGTACATTCGGACGGTGGGGCATGTGGTGGAGGACACTGTCTACCTCACTGCACCTGATGGTACCGAAGCCAACAGATCCATCATTTTTGGGTGAGTTTCTCCTAGTCATAGCCCGTCCTCTCTCCCGTGCTTCCTCCCTCAGTCGGTGTCTCGAATGCTCACCTCTCCCTTCGTAATTTCCCTCACTCCTTCTCTCTCTGCCGCCCCCCATTGCCTGCCCAGCTGTGGAGTGAACCAGCAAGGCTACTGGGGCATGCAGGGGTGGCAGTACGGCTCGTGGGCAGCAGGAGGCGTGCTGGGGCTGGGGTTGAGCAGCCCCTTCCTCTGGCAGCTCACTGGCCTCAATGACCCAAACTCCTTCGCCGTGTGTCTGGAAGAGCCCACGCTGTCGAACAAGACGGGGGGGGATGGCAAGGTGCCGCTGCAGACAGGCAGCAGCCATCTCACCATCGGAGCCACCGGCCTCCCTGCCGGCGCCAGCTACGCCACCATGTAATCATTCTGCTCTGGGACGCCCTCCCTTGCTCTCTTTGCCTCCCTGCCTGCCGGCGCCAGCTACGCCACCATGTAATCCCCCCCGCCCTGAACGAGTCAGCCCTGCTTTCTGGGTTTCGGGTTCAGTTTAAGCATCCAAGCATCCACCCACCCACCTCATCCACGCACTCCCTGCGTGCAATCCCTCCCTCCACACAGGGCCAGTGAGGCGTGGGCCGGCATGCAGTACAGCCACATCACACTCACCACGCCCAAGCGCGCCCTCAACATCACAGACGACCCGGACTACATAGACACCACCGCCACACCCTACGTGCCTGAGGGCTTTCCTAAGAACGCCACGCCGGGCTTCTTGTTCATGCCCGAGTCCTTCGTGCATCTCCTGCGCTACCCTCTCTTCATGACCCTTATCCAAGGGGTATGTTCTCCTCACCCTGTGCTTGCCCTGCCTGCATGTCTGGAAGCCTGGCCAAGCCGAGCTAGTGATTGAAGCTAGCATGATTCTCGCTGCTTTCATGCGCTGTGTCGTTGTGAGCTGTCTCATGCCGTTAGGGCTCGTATTCTCTCGCTCTGTTCGACTCCTAAGAGCACTCCAGATGAAAAAATACATCTTTGGAGTTGACTCGAACGATACGTGGTCGTGCGGGTGGGTGAACGAGAAAGCCAAAGCACTTGCTGCCCTCGTGTAATCCAGAAGCGGACTTGTTGCGTGCTGCTCGGACCACGGAGATGGATGATGCCATTGTTATAGTGACCGCAATCTGGTTTCTTACGTGCATATAAGTGGCTTCGAATTGGTCTGGCTTCTGGCAGAGCGGCGTCGGGCTTGGTTGACTGTAGTGCAGCAGGGCTTGTTTTGTTTTCATTCATGTGAGAGCGTTCCTCTCAAGCTCCTCATGTGTCGCGTTCATCATCATGCACGTATCCTCTTCTCGTTGTACCCTCCCACACATTGCATGTGTATGTACATGTGCGTGCGCATGTGTGTGTATGTCCATGTTCGTAATCATGTGTATGTACATGTGCATGTACATGTGCTTGCATGTGTACATGAATGTGCATCTGCATGTGAATGTGCAAGTGCATGTGCATGTGGGCGGGCACGTTTTCAGCTCCGAGACATGACAGGGCACACCATTTCCACGCCGACAGATACTGTTTATCGGCTTCCATGCTTCAGGTGTGTTGCTAAGCTATAACTCCATGAACCCATCAAGAGTGCACATGCCCGTTCTTGTCAATCCCTCCGCTCGTGTCAATCCTTCCAACCAAGTGCCGTGCCACCTCCGTGCACAACTGTCTATCTTTTGCTTTAAGCCTGACTGAGTTTGCTGCTCGCTGAGAACATGTCCCAAGACCAAGTGCCGTGCCACCTCCGTGCACAACTGTCTATCTTTTGCTTTAAGCCTGACTGAGTTTGCTGCTCGCTGAGAACATGTCCCAAGACCAAGTGCCGTGCCACCTCCGTGCACAACTGTCTATCTTTTGCTTTAAGCCTGACTGAGTTTGCTGCTCGCTGAGAACATGTCCCAAGACCAAGTGCCGTGCCACCTCCGTGCACAACGCAACGCAACGCACCACCTCCATTCTCATCCATCCTCATCCATCCTCATCCATCCTCTGGGAGGCTCTCTCCTCTCGTCAAGCACTTAGGCGCCCAAGTGCATCACCTGCCGCAACCCAACCCAAAGCACGTCCGGTCCAGTGAGCCAATGCCAGGTTGCATGGCCGGAAAGGGCAGTGTGTCTTCCGCGTGTACTGATCAACGGCCAGGGTAAGGAAGGCAACATGGTCCGTCCGTTTTTGGCGTGCTGTTTGCTCTTGAAACCATTTAGCCACCTGGGAGTTCGGTTTTGGAATGGTTATACCCAGGTTCTCAGGTCCGAGAATGGAATGGATTTGTAGCTATTAGGTGTGCGACCCGATCTATCTGCTTTCGTGCAACCATGAGCGTGTGCGTCCAATCGAGGTCAGTGCTTGCTGGATTCGCTGTAAAGAAGAGAAAAGAAGAGAAAAGAAGAGAAAAGAAGAGAAAAGAAGAGAAAAGAAGAGAAAATAAAAGAGAGAAGGCAGCCAACAACCCTAAACGCCTACTATGTGCTTCATCTCTTTCCCAGCCTCGGCTGCCAACAACGGGAGTTATCGCTCAGGAAGGCAACGTTGTCGTCAATGTAACAAGGAAACCCGTTCTACTGACACCCCACCCAGTAGTGTTGAAATGTTCCACATTGGCTCACCCACATTCCTCCATTTCCTAAGTGTGCACCCCCTTTTCTACTGTCTGCCTTTTTAACCGCTGACTTTGGTTTGATAATGAGTGATTTTTTTAATTATAGTTTGCTCTCTGACCCTTTCTCCAGTAAGTCCTCTGACCTCCTTGTCTCCATTTCCCCCTCACTCGCACCGCATTACCCATCTTGCAGCAACAAGAACAAGGCGGATGATCCGTTCACCACCTTCCCCACCATTGACATTGCTTTCCTCTCGCCAGACAACACCACCTCCCACTTCTATCTCAAGCCGCGCGAGTACCTCACGAATGTATGGAAAGCATGCTTGTTGTTCACGGGCTCCTCTCATTGCACTCTCGTTCACCGGCCCATTTATCATTACAATACAACTACCTTTCAACAGCAGTCTCGATTACAGTTGATTTCAACTCACCCAAACGGATGACCGAGCGGGACAGACATGGAGATCATGTTCTTTGAGAATTCTAAAAAAACAGAGCAGGACAGACATGGAGATCATGTTCCAGTTGCCACGCGCTCTGCTGCCCTCTCCATTCTCTCTCCTCTCCTCTCCTCTCCCCTCCTTTCTCGTCTCCTCTACCCCCTCTTCCCTCTCGTCATCTCTCCTCGCCCTGTTCCCCTCCTCCCAACTCACATCCATGCGGTGCGTTGATTCCCGTGCTCTCCCCATGCTCCACTCGTCCATGCCATCTAAGCCGAACTTCGCCCTTGAGTCCACAAGGGAACATGGGGAGAGGAGAGCAACGAGTGTCAGAGCCTTTGGCTGAGCTGGGCTCGCTGAGTCTCTGATCCGCTCAGTGGCTGTCGCTTGGGCCCGGCCCATGCCACTCGCGTCAAGGCTCTTCCGGAATCCCATGCGCCCCCCCACAGGTTTTGGCTTCTGAATACTGCCTCTTGGTCGCCTTCACTCTTCCACATAGAAAGGCGGTCAGTTACATTGGAGGTAAGAGGTTTACCTACGGCACATTTTCACTCCTTTCTGCATCTGAGATTCTGCCAGCAATATATGATCCAGTTATCTTGGGAATTCGCAGAAGTTACCTGAGTTTCTGCCAGCTCCCTTCATTCCCCTTTCCCCACCGACCTACTGCTGTGCCGTGCTGCCCATCCTCTGCCATCCACCACAACACGCCTCCCATCCGGCCACTAGCCGAAGCAAGCTGGGAACTTGGGCAGGCATGGAACTCCAGACACGGTTGCCTGCGGTGCTTGTGAGGCTGGCTTCATCCTCGAGCCCACAAGCGGGGGCCCACAAGCGGGAGCCCACAAGCGGGGGCCCACAAGCGGGGGCCCACAAGCGGGGGCCCACAAGCGGGGGCCCACAAGCGGGGGCCCACAAGCGGGGGCCCACAAGCGGGGGCCCACAAGCGGGGGCCCACAAGCGGGGGCCCACAAGCGGGGGCCCACAAGCGGGGGCCCACAAGCGGGGGCCCACAAGCGGGGGCCCACAAGCGGGGGCCCACAAGCGGGGGCCCACAAGCGGGAGCCCACATGGGCTTTTTTAATTTCCTTGCCCTTTGCCCCTGCCTGGCCTTCCCACTTACCAACACCACTCCCTTGTCTCCCTGCCCTCCACTCTGGGTGCATGTGGCGGTGATGAGCAGAGCCGGGGCTGCTCGGCAAGTATCTCTTTATCGACCAGACCAACGGGATTGGAGGATGGATGGATTCCCCTCACTGTAAGCTGCTGCTCACCCTGCCCACAATGCCTGCCGGCCCCTTCCATCTCTCCAGCACACGCACCCACCCCTTGTCCCTTGCGTCTTTCTTACTCCGTATCGTGAATTTCTCAGCATCTGCTTTCTGCGGACATCCTCTGTCCTTCACCTCTTTATCACTGGTTTTGAAGCCGGCAAAGCATTTATTTGCAACAGGGAAGCACCAAACATTACTGTCCGCGCAATATTTTAGTATCCGAGTTGCTGTGCAGTGCACAAGTGCTTTACCAATGTTCGCACGCTACCCCCTCTCCTTTTGGCCCATTACTCTGATTGTCTTGTGTGTAATTCTTGCTCGCTTTGGCCCTCACTAGCCTCACACCCCTTTCTGAACCTTCACTCTTCTCCTCTCCTCCCCTCTCCTCTCCTCTCCTCTCCTCTCCTCTCCTCTCCTCTCCTCTCCTCTCCTCTCCTGTCGTCTCCTCTCCTCTCCTCTCCTCTCTTCTCCACTCCTCTCCACTCCTCTCCACTCCTCTCCTCTCCTCTCCTCTCCTCTCCTCTCCTCTCCTCTCCTCTCCTCTCCTCTCCTCTCCTGTCGTCTCCTCTCCTCTCTTCTCCACTCCTCTCCACTCCTCTCCACTCCTCTCCACTCCTCTCCTCTCCTCTCCTCTCCTCTCCTCTCCTCTCCTCTCCTCTCCTCTCCTCTCCTCTCCTCTCCTCTCCGCTCCGCTCCTCTCCTCTCCTCTCCTGTCGTCTCTACTCCTCTCCTCTCCTCTCTTCTCCACTCCTCTCCACTCCTCTCCACTCCTCTCCTCTCCTCTCCTCTCCTCTCCTCTCCTCTCCTCTCGTCTCCTCTCGTCTCCTCTCCTCTCTTCTCCACTCCTCTCCACTCCTCTCCTCTCCTCTCCTCTCCTTTCCTCTCCTCTCCTCTCCTCTCCTCTCCTCTCCTCTCCTCTCCTCTCCTGTCGTCTCCTCTCCTCTCCTCTCCTCTCTTCTCCACTCCTCTCCACTCCTCTCCACTCCTCTCCTCTCCTCTCCTCTCCTCTCCTCTCCTCTCCTCTCCTCTCCTCTCGTCTCCTCTCGTCTCCTCTCCTCTCTTCTCCACTCCTCTCCACTCCTCTCCTCTCCTCTCCTCTCCTTTCCTCTCCTCTCCTCTCCTCTCCTCTCCTCTCCTCTCCTCTCCACTCCTCTCCTCTCCTCTCCTCTCCTCTCCTCTCCTCTCCTCTCCTCTCCACTCCTCTCCTCTCCTCTCCTCTCCTCTCCTCTCCACTCCTCCCCTCTCCTCTCCTCTCCTCTCCTCTCCTCTCCTCTCATCCCAACAGGTGGAACCGAGCCTCTGCTGCCGCCACCCTCCCCTCCACCACCCTCGCCTGTTTCCAAAGGGGCCACCCATTCCCTCTCCTCGCTGCCAGCACCACTCTCAGCTGCCTTTGTCCTTGCCACCTCCGCCGCCCTGCTTGCTCTCACTCTCCTCTAGAGCCTGACTTCCTCCAGGAGAACTAAACAACCGAGTCTTGCCTCAGAAGTGTGCACTCTCATATGCTGGCCTGCTTGTGGGAACTTATAAAAACTTGTGGCCTGCTGTGAGTACTATCATACCAGTCAAGACATTGGCTGGATCCGTGATTAATAGACGCTTAGAATAACCTTTGCTGTTGCCCCCTCTGAGGGTGGAGTGCTGTTTCTATAAAGTGGATTTAATTAGTGCTTCAAGTCGGAGAAGCAAATAGCACTTTCCTGGTGATGTGATGGCAACAGTCGTTTGTTGTAAGTGATGATCACCACACCTGCTGTTGCGATCAAGACTACCGTACCAGTACAAGTGAGTCACCATCAACACGGCCAGAGCGAGAGAAGACACACCAAAGTATGAACCTGGAGGAACTGAAGGATCTGAGGAGATTCTTTTATAATCCACAGCCACTAGGGCAACGCATTCTCAAGTAGGCTAATCACTAACTACTCAGCAGCTGTGATGTGATGAGGGCCTGATCCGGGTAATTACGGCACCTTGGGGAATGCCCGTGTATTCCCTGTCGGCAGGGTCCTCGACATCAGACATTTTTGTCTGTTTGTCTTAGATATCAGACGATTTTTTTCCAGTTAATCTGATTTTCCAACATTTCATTTCGATTTCATCTGATCGGTTAGAAATAAAATTTTAGTGTCATCTGATGCATCAGAAACGTATTTCTGATTCATCTGAAACCGAATCATGTTATAGCCTACAGTTTCGAGCATTTCCTGATCTGAGATGTCAATCGGACCTGCTATGATTGGTCGAAGGTCGTAGGTATCTCCTATGATTGGCTGGTCCTTTGTCGAATCTGCTGTGATTGCCGCTGTTCCACATTCTCGCCTTGTACGAACCTTGCTCATTCTGCAGAGCACGTCGAGCCAGAGCTGGCGCACTTCCTCTAGCACAGTCAATTGACTTCACCTGTTGTCGTAGGCTGCAGCACCACGCAATGGAAGAACTAGCAAATCACTATGAATCACCAAAACCACGTCATCCCACGTAATGGTCACGCAAGCTAGTGTAGTGGTCACGCTAGGTGTCAGATTCATCCTGGTTCTTGAACAAGACTGTCGGATCTGGATGTGAACTTCGCTTACCTGGCAACTAGAAACAAGAATTTACATCAGTCGCATTTTGATTGGTCAGACAAGCTACTAAGATATTTCTGATGCATCAGACACAAAAAATCGAAAATATCTGACGCGTCAGACGGGCCCTCAGGTGCCCTCAAATCCTAGCGAGGACCCTGCCTGTCGGCTATTCCAACAATATGGGGCCGGTAATAGTGGAATGGAAATGGTTTCAGCAAGCATTGCAAAACTCGTTACACGAGGAAAGTGTATAGCATGGCAACAAGCTGAGAAATTTTTTGTAACAAAAAAAATTTACAGATTGTGGTTCGACTTGAAGAGGGGTTTGCTGTAAAGGAGACATTCTCCTTTACCTTTCGGCAGGTCCTCAGGACCTACCACCTAGTCTCATTTGCAGTTTTCACTTCTCTAGTTTCCACCAGCACACACTAAACCCTTCCTATGCCCAGATCTGGGCATAGGAGCACCTTGTTAGCAGACGTTATTGCTGTCCGTTTTAATAGCATGACTGGCGGACTTGTCTCCGCTGTTGGCGGAAGGCCTCCCGCTTCTCGAATGAATTTACGGAGCAGTGGTCGTGGTGGTTCTCCGCAACGTGATGGGGATCGGGACTCCTCTTCACGTCGTGAGCGTTCTCGCTCTCCCCGTGGCGGAAATTCTGCTGCTGTTACTGCTCTGGATTTATTGAATCGTGCGCGACAAGCTCCTCCTCGAAGCCCGAGAGCTGCAGGAGGCGATCGTGACGGATCTTCCCGTCGGGATTTTCCTCCCGGATTTCACGGCGAACGACGTGCGGACGGGTTACGTGGAGGCGAAACGAACGCACCTGACGGAAATGTCGCGCCCATTCCCGAGGAAGCCCCAGCAACGGCCGAAAACGCCACACGCGCGGCACCCTCTGGTCCTGCGCGTGGCGATCGTAATGATCGCGACCCTGCGCGTGTGGACCGTAATCATGAGGGTCCTGCGCGTGGGGCCGGCGATCGCGATCTCGGTCAAGATCGCAATCTTGACCGCCGCGCGGATCGCCAGGATCAGGACCAAGGGCGAGAATCTCGACGCCCAGATCCTGCACCTCGCCCGGCGAATCCGCGCGCTTCTCAGGATTGTTGAATCTCGCCTTCTGCAGCAGCGGATTTTGCCGAGATTCTCGCGCGTCTTGACCCGGCAGCCCAGCGAAACCTTCAGCGAATCTTCACGGGAGCTGCTGGCGAACGTGTTTCAGCGCGCTCCACTGCATCTACAGGGCCCCGCGCAGCAGAAAATTATTCCGCTCGTTATACCAACAATGAAATTCCTGCCGCCGCCAACAACGAAGCCATACATCACGTCATCGGCCTCCTCGCTGCTCTCCAGCGCGGAAATAACGGCGATCGCGCACCGCCTTCAGGACCTGATCGCCCCGCAGCAGCAGCGGCAGCACCACGCTCTCGCCTCCCCCCTCCGGCCAACGAACCCGATGGCGACGACGCGGGCGACAACGCACCCATCGAGAATTCGGATGAAGGTAATGCAGCCCGTCCCAAACCCAGCTCTGCCACCTTCGGCCTTGCTCCCATCCCCCCTGCTCGCCCCCAGCTGCGTTCCTCCTTAGTGAAAAGTGATGGTATCCGCACGCAACTTTTTAGTTTTGAGCGTATTCAAGCTATTGCACGTCACGCCATTTCTGTTTTGCCTTCCAGCGGCGGCGAGCAAGCCGCCGACTACCTCCAGCAAATAGTTGACGAAGCGGAGGAAAAGATTCATTTTCTCTTTACCGCCGACCAACGTGGTTTTGAGGTGGCCAATATGGCCTTAAAGATTAAATATGGCGAAGTGGTGGAAGATAAGAATGTAAAGGCTGCCACTCAAATCGTGGCGGCTAACAAAAAGAGACCTAATCGCCCCACCCATGCGAGCTCCCGTAGCGACCCTCCCCCTCGTGGTCGAGGCCAAGGAGAGCGTAATTGGAACACGTGGCGCCGTGACGGTGACGGGCGTTGTTTCTACTGTCGCGAACCCGGACATGGGATCGCGGATTGCCCCCAGCGTGGCCAGGGCGCCAATAGGCCCACTAAGATTGTGTGAAGATCTATGTATGATTATGCTGTTATAATTTTTCAGATCTACGAGCAACTGTCTTATTTAAAAATGATTGCCCTTTTTACTTTACCGATGCGATTCTACTAACAAAAAAAAAAGAGAGAGAGAGAGAGAGAGAGAGAGAGAGAGAGAGAGACAGAAAGAAGATGAAGAAAGAGGGAGGAGGAGAAGGGGTTCAAGAGAGAGAGAGAAGAAAGGAAGGCAGGAGGTAATGCAAAAGAGACGAGTAAAAAAAAAAAGAAGAAGAAGAAGATGATAAGATACGATTACGTGGCCTCAACACTCACCCTTCTTCGTACGCTCCTCCCTGCACCCCTTACCAGAGCTGGACGTCCTCGCCGCTCTCGACACTTCACCCACCGGCACACCTTTCATGCGTGGTCGCCTTGGTGCGTGCGCCAGCTGGTGGGCCGCCTGGTGTGATAGCCGCTTCATCATGTCAGTAATCACATCCTGAGAAGAAACAAGGAATGAGATGAACTATGAATGAATTGGGTACAAGTACTAACCCTAATTGGGTTGTACCCCTTATGGACTACCCCACTATAGCCTACACAATATGCATGAGCTATAATGTTCTGACACACCCCCATAGGCAAAGTGGGGGAGAACAAGGGGTCACAAGACCAGTCAAGCAAAGCAAAGCAAAGCAAGCTCAGGGTGGATCACAAAGTCACCACACATTCCAAGCACAAGTTCAAGGCCACAAGGCCAGTTCACATGCAGGAGTACATATATATAAAAAAGGCTAGACAAGCAAGAGCAGGTATATATATATGTAACAGTACAAGCAAGGTCAAGAGGTGAGCAAGTGAAGCAAGGTAGGCACAAGGCCCAGCTGAGTACAGAAGCGCTGATGGTCACAAGGCGCAAGCGCCTTGGTGAAGATATCAGCAGTGTTGGCCTCAGAGGCCACGTACGCAAGACGCAGCTGACCACGCTGCTGCAGCTCACGAGCAAGAAAGTAGCGGAGAGCAATGTGCTTCGTTCTGTGCTCCAGTCGCTGCTCCCGACACAAGGCCAGCATGGCCTTGTTGTCTACGTACAGCACTGGAGGAGAACGAGGCAACTCTCCGAGGTCAGTCAGCAGGTAGGTGAGCCAGCGAAGCTCCTGTGCAGCCATGGCTCCTGCGTAGATCTCAGCCTCACAACTGGAGCCGAGAACAGAAGACGAGCGAGTAGCCCGCCACGAAACAGAGCCGGAACCAAGGCTGAAGGTGTAACCCTGTGACGACCGCTGCGTAGCCTGGTCGTCAGCCCAAGAAGCGTCTGCGTGCCCAGTAAGGACCACTGGACTCTGCCCTCCAAGCACCAGCCCCATGCCCGACGTACTGCACAAGTAGCGCAACACCCTCTTCGCTGCAGCCATGTGCTCCGGTCTGTGTCTCCCAGGAGCAACATAGCGTGCAAGAATGCTAAGAGGGTATGCAAGGTCAGGTCGTGTGCAGGTCATCAGGTACATGAGGCAGCCAACAAGCTCTGGGTACGGGCCACTCGACTCTACGGACTCATCCGAAGGCAGAGCTGAGAGCGAGTGGCGAGTAGGCAGAGGAGTGGCCTGAGGGGAGGAGTACGTGAAGCCGAAGCGCTGAAGGACCTGCTGCACCATGTGTGACTGAGTCAGGGTAATGGTGCGGCGTGCTCTGTCCCGAGTGATCTGCAAGCCAAGGTAGCTGCGCAGTTCACCCAGGTCAGTGCACGTGTGTCTCTTCTGCAGCTCGGACTTCACGTGGGCTAGTCCTGCTGCAGTGTCAGCTGTGGCAAAGACCAAGTCGTCGACGTACA